AATACTGAAAATGAGAACAGACACTGAAGAACTGCAGAGTGATCTTATGAGTTTGACTGCTTGGGCAATAAATGGCAGGAAAACTTCCCAGTATGTAAATACGAAGGGATGCAAATGTTGATATAGTGGATGACTGTCCTAACTTCATGCACAAGATGAGGAGTTCTGAGCTGGCCGTGATCCTTGAGGAGTGAGATCTGAGGAGTTATCAGTGCTGGAATAGAGCAAGCCAGAAGAATCCTTATTCCACTGTATAAATTTATTATTAATCCTGCTGTGTTCAGTTGGGTACCTCATTTCAAAGAGGTTGGTTATAACGGAATTGCAGGTGGTTTAGAAAAAGGCATCATGGGCAGTATTATGCACAGCATGGCTTTTACATGAGAAACCAGCTGACTAGACTAGGAGTCTTTAGCCAGGAAGAGACAACTTACAGGGAATACTATAAATGGGTATTTTGAACAAAGTTTTAAGTGACATGGAAGTCAGTAGACATAGACTATTTGCTGGTTCTTCACTTAAAGCCAAGAGCTAGGTGTCATCAAAGTTAGCAGGAGCCAGGTTCAAAACCAACAAAATAAGGTGGTTCCTTGTATAATGGGTAGCAGATGTGTGCAACTCCATGAAGATGATGTTGCAAATCCAGAAAGTTTACATAGTTTCAGGGGATACTGGAAAAAACATTGAAAGAGAGATTCATTGAGGCTTACTAAATAAATAGAAGATATCAGCCTGGAGAAATTCCTTGAGCTGAAAATAATTTGAGTTAGGGAAGATATTAGGGGAAATACATGTAACCTATATGCTTGCATTTCTCTTAGTATCTGCATGTGGTCCCTGTTTTTTCAAAGCAGAGTGGGACTGGAAAGGATGAATGATAAATATAGTCCTTCTTGTTATCACAAAGTATGCAGTAAAGTGTTCTGCAGCTGTGCTCCCCGAGCAGAAATGATGAGCTCGCTGGCCTACCTTGACCATTGAGCTGTCCTTACACTTTTGTTGGCTCAATTAATAAAAATTGTACTGGTGGAAATGGGATTTGAGTTATGGCTTTGAAGGAACAAAGGGTTATGTGAACATGTTGTGGCTTTGAATATGAGTTCAGATCATTAATACCCTTTAGCAGATCTTTAGAGCTTCACAACAGATCTTTAGAACTGTAGAAGATCCTCTGTGCTCAGCCACAGCTGGATCACAATGCCGGATGTGTATTAGACTTGATAAAACAAGACTGACTTCAGACTTCTTGTAGGTAAAGCAAGAAATTGTAAGAATATGGAAGAATAATGTAAGAAAAATAAGACATTATGGGCAAGGAATTAAATCAGGAGTACTTTTACATTCTGTTCTTACAGTTACTGGATAGAAACACCACCTTCTTGTAGGTTAAATGTATCCTGAATTGCAAAACTGTCTGGGATTTTACTAGGACCCATGTTCTACAAACGTTTGCACAGGTATTTTTAAGTCGATGCTGCCTCATGGTTTATTTGCAAGATCATGGACTAGACATGCTCAAATCAGTGAATCACCAAAATTAGGTGAAGCATAGCACAAAGTCCTAGCCAGATTGAAAATATTATCCAAACTTCCATACAACAGTGATTTTAATTGAATCTACAGTACATTGATGATGAGAAGAAGTGGTCTAAAGCTAAAATTGAATCTAAAAAAATCCAATTATCTCATATTGTCAAGTCAATATAAATAGCTTTTAAAGTTTCTTTACAAACTCTCAAATACTAGCCACTTCCCGATTTTATCAATAAAAGGGTATATAGTTTTATACTTATTAATGTTAACAGGTCTAAACAAGTCAGACTGTTTTCTTGAAAAGGAATGCTTTATCGTCTAAAAATTAGCTTTTAATGTAATTGAAAATAGAGTTGCTCATATTTAAAAAAATCCTAATAGTGTCAAACTCTGTCATGCTGAAAGAGGTGGTATGGAACTGCTAAGTGCAGATACACATGTAAGAGTGATGATAAACAATAACCCGCATTCATATTTCTTTTCTATAGAAGGTGCATAGTGGTTTGGGTGAACTAATCCTTCAATATTGCCAGCTACGTATGATAAACCATGTTAAAGGATTATTATTTATGGGAATGCTGTCAATTTTTTATATCTACACTTGTAGTTTATTTTCATTTTAAAGACTGTAGACCACAACTCTGTACTTTTAATTTTGTATTCAGTATGGGGAGTTAATCCCAGAATGGGGCTTTTTTGATGCAAAATCTGAATGCTTGTGCAGTAACAACAGCTGTCCCCTCACCATGTGGTGTCTTCCATCGCTTTACTGTAGAGATGAATTTTGGCCCAGTGTTTCAGTAATATTGGACACACATGGTTTTAGGTGACAAAGCAGTATGTTTATGCATTCATTTGACTCTCGCAGTTACAGTTGGCTACAGATTAGAACGGGGAGAATACATTCACACCATGGCCACCCTCATAGCTGCTTGTAGTAGTTGGATCACAGTAGGCGCTGTTGCATCTAAAGACACAATTAACTGTTGCTGAGGAATTGCAAATTCACAAAAGCTCTTTACAGCTTCAGTGGTTGAGAGTGGATTTTCTAAAAGCTTTCTCAAAGATTTTCCAAATCTATAAGTGTTTTAGATCTTCACATTCTAAAATTACTGTCAGCTTGAAATAAGATTAACAAGTTGATATTTTAATGTAGCTAACAAATTCTTGTGCTGTGAATTAACTATATAATTAGCTACAGATCTACAGAATGATTGTAGTTTTGTCTGTTATTTAGGAACTTACGACTTCTGTAATATTTGCAAATGGTTAGTAAAGTTTTGAGCACACAGGAAAATCAAAGCTCACTGAAACAGTCTGAAAATAAAACTTACCAGGAAGCTTCTGATGCGTGTACATCACTGAAAAGCTCATCTTGATTTCCATGTGTAATTGCTTAGATATGCTTTGGATATGGTAAGAGAGAATAGCTGTGAATTTACTTAAAAAAAAAAAACAAAACAACCCCAAAACCCAAAAACAACAACAACAAAAAACCAACAACAAAATCCCCCCAAACCAGCAAAAATCCCCACAAAGTTTTAATACAAATTAAATAGAAAATTACAGTAAACTGCCTATTAAGGCTAATTTTGAGGTATGATTTTTGAACAAAAGGCTTTTAACCAAAAATCTTAGCAGAATTAATTATTTAAATTAGTGATGAAAATTTTTATAAGTAGAACATTAAGCACCCCAAATCTTCCCTTCTAAAAATCTCTGAGAAATATTTTAGTATGAAATATATATATATATATGGAGTATAATATAATAAAGAAGTATATGGAGCGTATTAACTTGTTTAATACAATAAAAGCAATAAGGTTACTGTGTAATGTTGAGATTTCCTATGTGTTTATCATTTCTTCTGTAGGCCAGAGTGTAATTGTGTGATAATGCATGTAATGTATGTGCGAGATCTCTCACATACGCACGCGTTATTTAAGCGTCTTGCGTTTGCATCAGCATAGATAATTCATTTTATACTTGTATTAAAAACTATCCGAATATGAATGTCTGAGGCTTTCAGCATTGAATAAAGGACTACATGGATCCAAACTAGGACGATTGATGAAATCCTTGCTACTATTGACTATTATTTACTGTCTTTTAAGTGGCAGGTTGTATTTATGCCAATTTATCTGCTTCAGGGAACACTCTTGATAGCAGAACAAAGTGAATAAAAGTAGTTTGCTTTGCAAATGAATGCAAATGGTGGAGCCTTTCGGGAAGCCCTTTAACAGGAGCAATGCACTTTGATTATGAGTGAAGCTGCCATTTGGACATGGTGAAAAGAGCACGCTTGAACCATTGATTGGGGGAGACAGTAAAAAGTCAGGAAGGGCCCCGTTAAGCTCGCAGTGCGGCAGGCGGATGTCAGCGTGGTTAGAGCACAGTGGGAGAATGACAGGCGGGATTAGTGTCAGGGAGAAGCTTTGCTGTGGTTGTGGAGATGGTCCCTGGGGTCACTCACCTCTGACTGTTGTTCTGTGCTGATGGCTCTGTAATGCAAACTGCTTGATATGTGCCTGTTCATTATCGGAAATGGTGATTAGAAGAGGTATGTCATAATGGATTCCTTAAAAATAAATAAAATGGCAAACTGCTGATGGTAACAAAGATTCGGCTCTGCAGTCGTTGCCAAAGATGCTGCAAACGCCAAAGACGGACACTGCCTCTTGCCTTCTGAGGCCAGCGCGATTTCATGCCTTAAACTGCTATAATGGTGTGTTCCTTGCTTTGTTTGCTTTCATTTGGCCGTTATGAAGACAGTTATTTTTAACAGATTGTCTTTCGTGGTTAGAGCAAAACATTTTTGTAGCTTTTGGTTATTGGGTGGTAGAAGCATCCGGTTTGGTTTTGTGGTGTAACTGTGTTTTGGGCGGGGGCGGGGTGTTGTTTAATAGTCTTAATGGAATATTAGAATCAACAGATTTCATTCCTGAATCATCCCAGAATGCTAAAACATGGGATGATTACAGCAGCAAAGAGCTAAAATGACTGTTCTGTTTTATTTAGAGGCTTTTTTAAAATGTAAAACCGAGGATATTTTCTTTGTCTTTGCTGAAAAATCTTACATGTGCAATTAAATAAATGTCTAAAATTTTGCATCTTAAACTGTGATTTAATCTTTATAAAGTATTGCTGCTTTTTATCTTTACTGCATTTTATACTGTTGTGTACATTGTCTAAATGATGATAGAAATTAGATGTGTTAGTGTATACAATATACAACGTGCATTTTTTGACTGTTAAGGCTTTTTAATATCTCACTGTTGGTCTGTTGTTTTTAATGCGTTTTCAGCAACAGCACAGGGAGATGGCATCCAGATACTTGAAACTATTACTTTTATTTTATTTTTTACATGATTTGATTAATTCATTTGAAGGGGTTTTTTTCAGTATATTACCTCACAAAAATATGTCCAATATCCCAGTGTAATGAATGTTTTACAAATGTTTTACAGGCACCTGAATGGACAGAGGAGGACCTCAGCCAGCTGACAAGAAGTATGGTTAAGTTCCCAGGGGGGACCCCAGGTCGATGGGAAAAGATTGCTCACGAATTGGGTCGATCAGTGGCAGATGTGAGTTCACTCAGATTTGCATTGTATAGAGTGACAAACCAGAACACGACAGGCAGTGTAGAAGGCAGACGTATATGGGGGCCGACATTGTCTTTTGAGAGAGGCTACAATCCTTTTAGGACCTGGAAGTGAACCATTAACTAACTATGCAAGAAGCAGATGTCAGCCAGTCTCTCCCTCCACAATTAACAGCTGTAACTGATCAGCTGGATGGGGGATTGTGCTGCTTACAGACTTGAGCTACTGTAACCCAATAACAGAAAAACAATGCGCTTCGGGTTTTGTACCAACCTCCTTTCACTGCAAGTGAATGTTTGTGTGACTTGGTTAAAGATTACATTTCTGTTTCTAGCCAGTCCTTAAAACATGTAGATGAGCTAATGGTGTTTAGACAGGTGGCTTCCATTAATTAAACTGAAATATCTTTGCAAACTTTAAAATGAGTTATACGTGTAAAACTATTTCAGTCCCTTTTTCTGGATTATAGCATGATTAATAATTATATTGTATAAAATGATTAATATCCTTGTTAATTCATATTTTATAGTATGGTACCAGATATCAAAGAAAGCTTGTACTTACGGATTTTAAGTGTTATGATCTTAAAACCCTTAGGGGCTAGGCTGTAAAAGACTTTTCCTTTCCAAGCAATAGATCACTAGAACATGATGTAGTGTCTGCTGAGGACCATTTGAAAGCCCTTTCAGCTGACCCTATTTTATAGGCTCTGGAGGGGTTAATGAGAATAATGTTTAAATCTGTTGATGTACGTTTTGAGATTAGGTGTTCTTTATTTATTATATTTCAGGAATTATCTGAAATAATGGGAAACAAAGCCTCTGGTTAGAGTGAAACGTAGCCCATTATAACCTTCTAGGAAATTTTCATACTTCTTCAGTGTTTTTTTCCCTGTTGATATCATCACAAAAAGATATTTTTAGAAGTTATTTTTAAAGATTTAGTGCATCTATACAGTTCTGTTACATATACTAGAAAACAAGCCATTTGCATTCTTGTCATTTTAGAACAACACATATTATTTGCGAATAAGCAAATGTAAGCAAGAAGTTACTAACCTGCTATGCAAATGAAATTGTCTTTTTTTGTTTATTCTGTTTAGTGTTATTTATCATACCCCTGAAGTATTCATACTACTGGAGTGACTTTATTAAAAAGATGCTACATTTTACTAAGCAGATATTAACTGCAAAAATATTTCACATGGCTTGGTAGTATGCAGTGTGCATGGGAAAGGTCTTTTGAGATTGCTTTGGAAAAACTGATTAATTTGCTTGATACTGGTAATACAACCATGTGGAATGATTCCACATATACCCATCACACTATCTGAAGACTGCCTTTTGCACCCATTTTCTGCTTTATTCCTTGACGCAGGTGTAAAAACATTCTTTATTAAGAATCCTTTGCATAATATATTTGGCCACCATACTTGCACACATCCAGTACTGGAAAGAAAAAACAAAGCTTGCTTGCTTCTTCCATTAGGTGAGAAGTCTTGAGCAACATACTCTTCAATGAATTGGAAAGAGAAATGAAAGAAAGGTGCATGTTCGAAGAGCTGTCATTTTCTTGTATGAAAAAAGGAATTTTCAGTGATTTTTATGTGTGGAGAAAGGTCTGAGTGTAATCCTTTTTACTTCCAGTGACCTCCAACTATATGATTAATGTAAGTGTTCTCCACACAAGTTTTCACTTCTCTAAAAATTTCCAACTGCTGATAATGCTAGGTCAGCTTTCCTGACACAGACTACTTATTAGAGTTTGTGCTACTTTTATCGTTGCATTGCACAGAGTTACAGCGATTAGGTTTTAAGAGGAAACACTTAAACAAAAGCTTCCTGGAAACTTCTCTGGATCTCAAACTGTTATTGCACTAGTACCAGAAATGTTGAAACTGGGAACTACTTCAGAGGTATCTATTCAGCTGTTGAACAAGACATACAGCTTATCCTTTATATTTGTTGAAGGTGACATAGAATAGCATCTAAATTTACAGCAAGGATTCTTATTTTGCTTGGGCATCACTGTAGTTGAACAAGAAATGTTACACTAAAGCTGCAGGAAAAACTTCTGGTTTTGTTAAACTTCGTGCACAGAAAAAGAGGTGTTTGCACATGCAGGCAGTGTTTGCTGCCCAGACAACTGTTCCCTCTTTCCACTGGGAGAGGTGCAGGGAGATAAGTGTTGGTGTATGAGGTGCTGTTTTGAAATAGCTTGTGTAGCAGAGTTCGGGAATCCCTTGCTTACAGCTAATTTAACATTAGTCAAGCCAGAGAGAGTTTGAAGTGTGTATTATCTGGGAAATGCACTAGCTCTTAAAAAAGAAAAACATTTAAGGGCAAATTTGAATTTGTTTTTCCGACATTTTCTGTGACACAGGACATGCTTTCTAAAAACTCGAGACCACTTTCTGCTTGTTTCTTCTCCTGTAAAGTATCAAGAGCAGTAAAGTTTGGTTTTCCTTTCACAGGTAGAGAGCTATAGTAGAAAGGATTGATAAGGTACAGTGTGCTTGTATCCATGTGATTTTAAGCATTCAAACCCCTCTTAATAGTAGATAAGCTAAATAGGTGTTAATAAAAACAGTTCAAAGTAATCCAGTCCAAAATGATCTCTCTATTGTTGCTTCCGTCTCAAAGCTTTCTTCCTCAGCAAAAAAAGGCTAGAAAAATATTTCAATGCTTTTTAAAGAATAACGTGAGACCATTCATATGTAGCAGAAAAGCATCAGTGAAATTCACTCCCTCTAACCACTGCAAAGAAATTCCATTTTAAATTGTATTAAACCCCTTTACTTTTTTAAAAAATTACTTTTAAACTACTTTTTAAAAAATTACTTTTTTAAAAAAGTAAATTCCTACATCAAACTATATTTGTTTCCACTGGCAATTTTTAAGCAGGATGAAGTGACTTGAGGAGAGTGTTCTTGGCTTTTGTGAACTCTTCAACTTCATGGTGGTGTTTTAACTTAGTTTTGTGGGTTTATTTGTTTTGGAGTTTTCTTAATATATTTCTGAATTTTCCTCCTGCTATTATGTTAATGAGTTTTGGAACAGTATGAAGAAAAGTTTCTAATGCTTGGAGCTTTAATACTGCTTTTTCACGTACAAAAAAAGCCCAAAAAGTTTGTGTGTCTGACTCATTTCCAGAGAGATTTGTTCAGCTTGGAAAATTCTTCCTTGATTTTGCTAGAACATGACTTTGATACCCCAGAACCTGGTAAGCACATGTAAGTCTTACAAAGCTAAGAGGAACTGAAAGTATCTTGGAAGATGAGTAGAATTCAAAAAGGTCAGGACAAATTGGAAAAATAAGATGCAAAAAATAGGGTGAAATTAAACAGACAAATATATGCAAGGACACAGCAAGACGGTGATCAGGTTCACAAATAAAAGATATCAAACAACTGGCTAGGGGTGGCTCTTAAAGCAGGAGGAACGTGGGGGTTAGCAGAGATAATGAGCTAGATACAAGTCAACAAATAGCGAGTTGTTGTGAAAAAGGCAGGCACCTTACTGAGAACACACCAACAGGAGGACGGTAAACCTGCATCTACATCCGTGGTTTGTGTCTGGTTTTCAGTATTGCACTGAAAGACGTGATTCAATACAAAGAGTCCAGATGAGAATAAAGCGAATAATAGGTCTCTAAAGTGTGACCTACAAGGAAAGACAGTGAAGGAATTCATGTTGTTGAACTGAAAGAAAATATGAACTGAGGATGTAAGTATTCAACTACATAAAAAGAAAACTGTAAAGAGGAAGGGGCTTGTGCACTCTATTAGTTTTATAGGGCAAGAAGTAATTACCTCAAATTTTATCACAGGCTGCAGAGTTAGACATTAAGGGGCAAAGAATTACAATGGAGATGATAAAGCAGTGGAATAAGCTGCTGTGGAGTCTCCGTATTTGCAGGCCTTTAAGAACAGGTTACACAAACATCTGCAAGAAACAACATCGATGTAGTGATTCTGCCTGAGGTTAGGTCCTTCTCTTCATATGGTCTATGATTAGACTAGCAAGTGCAAGCTATCTAGGAGGAAAGGGGGAGGAAACAAAACCTTCCCTACAATTGGAAGCATGTGTGAACTCATTTTTAAAAATGTAAAATTAAAGCCAGATAGTCACTGTAGTTGGTTAGTAATCACTGTGTATACCTTAGCTTGACTCTTATTAAATCCAGTAATTCCTAACAAAGTAATTTTTCAGATTTTTTTTTCTTTTCTACCACTATTCAAATTGGGGTTTTGTAGACATTTAAGTTTGTATTTCTACCAGATTCCCCATCCAGACAGGTACATCCACACGATGTGATGCAGGCCGCTGGGAAAGTGCCAGCCAAAATCCAGCAATAAACAGCTACAGCCATGCTGTAGCGCCCTTGAGCTCATTCAGCTCTACCCTTTCTATTTATGCCATCTCATGTGATACCAGCATAAATATCTTTGCAACATATTCCTATGCTTTTCAGCTCAGAGCTAGGTTAAGTTTGCAACCGTGGTGCAGGCATACTGTAAAAAGGCTTATTACTTTAACTTTTGTCATGTTAAATATAGGATATGTTTGTCTTGTCTCTCTTCAGGAAGACAGCTTTTAACAGCCAATGAATAGTCAACCCAAAATAGACGAGGTTAAGTTGTGCTCATTTTATCAGTATGTTTAATTATTTAAATTGCTAATTGTCATTTTAATATGTGCATATTGGGAATTTAGCAATCTTTTCCCGTAAAGATGATTTTCAGCTGGCTTAGTATAATGAAATCTTATTGCTTTCACAACTGAAAGCTTCTACAGCTTTTTAAGTAATTTTTATTGCAATTGGCTGGTGTTATAAATTAGATTTTCAAGTATTTTGATTATGAAAGGGAAATGGAGTTCAGTTAACTCTAATCAGGGTTCCTGCCTGCTGACCTGGTTACCTGTACCACTGCTTTCTGTCATCCTCCACACATCTGTTCTTTGACCCATTTTCCTTGCTGA